CTCCACCACTTCCCTGTTTTGAAGACAATCTCCCATCCAGAGTGGGGCTGGCCAACCACAACTCCTTGCTTAGCATTTAATCCCTGGTTTTCCGTGCACTCCAGACTGGCCATCCACCTTCCCAGCCCTGACCAGCAGCCAGCCTGGGCTCTGGCAAGTCCTGTGCCTGCTCCTGAAGGGCACTGAGTTACCCTGGAGTACCCAAGGGAAGGGAATACTACAGCTGCAAGACTACAGAAACATCCAGGAAGTAACAGCTTCCCACTGACAGAGAGCTGGGGTACTAGGAAGAAATTGTGCCCTGTAAGGGTTGTGAGGCTCTGGCACAGCTTCCCAGAGAAGCCGTGGCTGCCCCTGGATCCCTGGAAGTGCCCAAGGCCAGGTTGGACAGGGCTTGGAGCAACCTGGGGTGGTGGAAGGTGTTGCTGTTTTGGCAAGGGGTGGAATGAGATGAGCTTTAAGGTCCCTTCCTGGGATTCTGTGATTCTATGAAGTGGAACATGTAGATAATTGTGTAAAAAACAGAGTTTGACAAGCAACTTATAAAAACTTCAAACCCACAATAAGTCATTTTTCAGTCTTGGCAGGAGTGGGAAGCCTGAAAGCTGATTTCTAATACCAGTCTGCCATGGAGGGCTAACAGGAACATGCAGAAAAGACAAAAATTGGGCAGAAAACCCTGGTGAATTTTTGCATGTGTTTGTGGAGGAGGGTGGGGGGTTCCCAGACAGGAACTCACGAGCTCGCCTGAGGAGCTGTCTCACGCCAAAGCATCGGGTTGGGGTAGAATCAATGGACACAGCGAATAAAAACAACCTAACCATTGCCAGATGGTCCTCCCTGCACCCCTGGAGTGGGTAAAACTGCTTCCACACACAGCCTCAGGACATGGATGGTGCTCCCAGCTTTTACAGTCCATTCCCAGGGAGACTCAGCGACTGAGAGGGTTGTGACTAAGAAAGCTCAGCAAAGTTTCACAAACCATCCTACCCTTAGCACTGATTCGGAACTTATTTTATTAGAAGTCTTCCCAGAAGCCATTTGAAGATTCCCAGAGAATTTGGGGGTGAGCAAGTCTGTGAGCAGACCCTTTGACCAAAGCTGACTCAGTCCTAGGGGACCCCAAGGCCTCTGCAAAGTC